TTTTCAACACTCGAAGATAAATTTCGTATCTCCGCGCGCCCATGTAATATCCTCTATTTATCCGGTGTCTAAAATCTCGTACATTCTACTAAGATATAACCGTTGCCATGACTAACTTCTTATCAAGGAATCACATTTAGGCCTTCACGGTTTCTTTCAATCCTCGGATCAAAAATGTCAGCTCCTTTGCCGGCAAACTATAATTTTGATGATAAATTTGACCTGTTTCCTCATTTGTTTGAAATACAAGAACAAAGACGGGGAAAGACTACGAACTGTCCTCGCTTCGTGGTATTTTGTCGAGTTTTGAACCATTTTTTCATAATTACGGTAAATCCATTCATTTTAGAGATTGTGAATTATAAAATTCTCTTACATATTTTTCTTGTTTGTATTTGGCAAGGTTAATTCAAGACAGTGTTTTTTTAAAGAAACTGTTGTATCATAAAGCTGCTTGACCCGAGTCTTCATTAAAGAAATGATAAGCTTAATATATTCTCTTGCTTAAGTTTAATTATCTTTAAGCTTTCAATTCAATTCACAAGAAGATCTTTGATTAATAATAGATAGTTCAAGTTTATATGTTTATATTGGAAGTTTCATCGATATTTATATAATAAACAGAATATTACATGGGCGCGCGGAGATACGAAATTTATCTTCTCGTGTTGAATATCTCTCACTTGTTCGCGCTGCGCTCACTTGTGAGAGATATTCTCAACACTCGAAGATAAAATTCGTATCTCCGCGCGCCCATGGAATATCCTCTATTTACTTAAAACTAGTTGATAAAAAAAGGAAAAGAAAACAATGGGTCTAGAGTCTACTACTAACTATTTTGCGTACTATTTTTTAACGGGTTAGATAAAATCACTCTGAAACGTCGAACTGACTTCATTTGAGTCCTAGGTACGCATTGAAAACGAAAGTCTTCTCTTACGTCATTAGATTTGGCTCTTGTATCGATTCTGATTCAATTGGGTCAATTATGACATTTTGTATTAATTATTACTCCACAGCTTTGGGTCTTTATTGTTTAAGACACTAGCCGAGAGTGCAAATAATATACCCGTGAAATAGTTAAGATGAGATAGGAGATAGGTCTATCTTCTTGCCTGCGAACATTATCTAAAGTCTTAGATAAGGTTAAAAAATGTAATCGTGTTTCGAAGAGGGTGATTTTTTTGGGTTTCTATGTTGGAATGCTGAGGCCATAAGTGGCTAATTATGAAGCGTTGAAATTCAATTTTCATTTTTTTCCACAAACATATTTCACTAGACTAGACTCCTTAGATAGACAAAAGAAAACATAAAAAATAATTCCTCACAAAATTGGGGGTATCTTTTGCGAACACTAAGTAAAGATGGCTTGATGGGGTTTTCTTGGCGCGCTACCTTTCAACTTCAAATGGCAAATACGCGGGCGTTAACAATTGGGGGGAAAACCTTTGAGAGAATTTAAGGGAATGAAATTGTCGAATGAGCATGTTTTTATTGAAATCTGAATTAATATAAAACTCCCTTTTCACCCCATTCTTAGATCTAAGTTTTTGACGAGTTAATTTGATGATAATTTATATGTAGATTGAAAGAGGACTTTTGACGTTTCAATATTTTCAAGATGGCGGCGAAAACGAGAGAGACTGTGGACGAGTATTTTGGTTACCAAAGCACGCTGGGTCCAAGTTTTCGGGACCCATAAGTCCTTTCGGTCATTGTACCGTTACAGTCTCTAAGCGTGGAGACGGAACGGACGAGCGAGAGACTGTGGAAGAGTCTAGTGATTTATGGAGACAAGATTCTAATAGGCCTTTTGCACTAGATTGACACGTGATTGTTACTGGATAACAAAAAAATTTTGACTTCCTTCATTTAAAGATTTTTTGCTGGATTGCTAATGTCGTATTCAAAACCTTTTCAGAGATACTTTTTTTCCTTATGAGATACTTTCGATTTTCAGATACGAAGCAGTTTAAAGTTTGCTTGCCATCCAGCAGAGCCTTCCCCAAGGGACCTTGAGCTGAATTGATTCGTTATCAAAGTCACATATCAGCACGTGACTGTTTGTTGCAAAAGGCCTATTGTGGCTATAAAACAAGACATTTCTTGGTGTTCGTTCGTGCTTCAAGGTGGGGTACACCCATACAGCTCCATTCTCATTGTAGGATTGCCACTCCACTCTTGTACAATGACACGAATGTATCGAGCAATGATCGGTATCTCAATCTTGTTGGTCACCACTGTGTTCATATCGAAGTTTCCGGGAAATTTCTATTGGAACAAAATACAGTTTTTTAATCACAGATTGAACCCTGAATCTACCTTTGGGCTGATCTAAATCATGGCACGCGGCGAACCTCACAGATCAAATCATGACCGACCTCGGTTGGATTGACTAAAGTGAGGTAGCGTCTAACTTAATCATGATCGAATAGAATAATTGGAAAGTGTCCCACGATAGGAAAAGGGGACGAATATATTGATAGCACATGCTCGCTTACAATCAAGCTCAATTAAAATAATTAAATTTAAGGGTTCTTCAATTGAGCGTAAAGCTTTGTACATGTACACGAGAAACATGGCTAACGATGCGACTGAGTGCACAATATATGGATCAGTACATGGCGACGTGTATTTTTTTGAATTTTTCAAACATTTCTAACCTTAAGACAGTCTCCACGGTAGTTTGTCCAGTCCCTTGTGTCGTTGCTGTAAGACACACTGTACTCGGTCACCCATTGGGGGCCTTTACTGGGTCTTCCTTGTGTGGCAATCTTAGTAACCATCTTGACTCTTCCAAGGTCAACCTGTATGTGCTCGCCCCTTTTAGTCCCACCTGCAGCCCATGCACCAATGGTAACGTCAGGAACATGCTGATTATTCAGTCGGGCTCCCTGTGGTGCATGGACCGGTTTACTTGCAATTGAAGAGGCAGTGATCTGGGAGTCAAGGATGGATCGATTTTCCATACCCAGCGGATTTTCACATCCTGTGTACAAAAAATATATAATATTTTTCAATAATGTTTCTAGGATTTTGATATTTTTTTGACCAGTTCCATCTCATTAGTCCAAATAATCTTTGAACAAGTTTCTTACCCGTTGTATCAACTGCTGATATTTGACATTCCTTGGTCTCCATATCTGACCCGGTGCAGTTGGTACCGATATTCTGAGGTGCTGCAGGGTTGGTACAGTTTCGTGTACGTGTCCTGGGACAATCTGGGAGATGACAGGCGGTCCATGAC